TTGGACTTCACACACCATTCTGCCACAAATTTCGCCATAGTACATTTTCAGGCCCCTGTAAGATTTGCACTTAGATTTTTGTTTTAATGGGAGTAGAATATTTACCGTGTAACCTTTACTTTTGCTAGTAACTTCAGCCTTTTTGAAGACACTGAAAAATCCCTTGTATCTTGAAGGAGCTTAGATTTTAATCAAAAATAAATTAGCTGTTTTCTGGCTGGTCAATATCCTATATGTGGACCTAGGCTGTCTGTGCCCCAGAAACTGATGCTGCTGATTGGCCAAATACCCTGATGTCTTTTTGTTTGCATAGTTTTCAAGTTGTTTTAGAAATGTCTACCATCCAGATCTTGGAGTCTTCAGTTTTTTTTGTGTAAAAGGCACTGCTGCTAACCATATGTGTTTTTTTTTGCCTGCAACAGTGTACTTAACCTAATGCATCACTATTTGTGTCATCTGTTATAAAATAAGAAACTAGGATATGGACAATGTGAAATTGAAGAATCCAAAAAATCTTTATTAAAGTTAAGGTAATGCACAAACTTTATATTCACGAGCACATAAGAATCTGGGTTACACTAAGCTATGTGGTTACAAAAAACAGCATGCTTTCAATAGTAGGACTCCGTGCTCCACGGTCTGTTCCCCTGGACACATACAGAGACAAACATTGGCACCTGGGAGACCGTCAACTCAGTGAGTGATGCTGTTTGGTCAAGGAGGGGCGCTTGACGAAGGACTGTAATGAGTTCAAGAGCTGCAACCTCGGAGAGGAAACAGGCCACCTCTGCAAGGCCTGCCTAAGACAGGGAGGCCAAATATGATCAAATGACCGGCAGTGGCAACGTGAGCCGTGGACTGCCAAAGGATGGACAGGAGCCACCCTCCAGCAAGAGCATTGAAACAAGGGTCACCCAGAAGAAAGGAGAGGCCGGTGAAGAAAGAAAGGAGGACAATATAGCCAGGCACCAACCAACTCAACCTCTACCTGAGAAGTCAGAGCCAATGGGAGGGGAGCCAACAAAGAAGTCAGGAGAGTGGACAGAGGTATGGATGAACCTAAAAATAAAAAAAACACGCAGAGACCCCACTGGCCAACAGCAAAAAGGAAAGAGGCAGCTGCATGAAAGACCCACCAGCAGCACTTCAGACAATGAAGATATATGAAGATGTACAAAGCTATGGGCCAAGTACTGGAAAATGGGAATAGAATAGTTAGGTGGCTGTTTTTAACCAGTGGGGATTTGATGGACTGAAGGCCCCTTTTTTGTGCTGTAGATATCCATGACCCTATGACCATATAGGGACTGTTAATCCAGGGACGCAGGTTATGTTCTGGGGACTGAGATTTGAATGTGGCCATGGTAGAGGTTGAATTCAATTTTTGTTTAAATCTGGAATTAAGAGTCTAACGATGACCATGAATCCATTGTCATTTGTCAGGAAAAAATTATCTGATTCTCTAAAGTTCTTTTGGGAAGGAAACTGCAATCCTTACGTGGTCTGGCCTGCATGTGTCTCCAGACAAAAGCACTTAGGGATAAGCAATAAATGCTGGCATAGTCAGTGATGCCCTCATCCTGTGAAGGAATAATAAAAACCATGACTAAGATGGTAGGGTGACAGGAAGACACCAAGTACTGCACCTCCCACCATTTTACAGGCTCAGGGCATAGGATTTGTTTCGGATTTCTGTAGACTTTTGAATATTCTCTTTTGGTGCTGTATGGTTTTATGACCACATGCTAATCCCAAACATCTGATAAGACCCCCATTTCCAGCTGGTAGGAAGTGCAAATGGATGGGTAGTCTTCAGTCATACCTTTGAGAAAGTGCATATACCAAACCTCATTCAATAGCTCCTTTTGATGGCATGCCTGAATCCTTCCAATTCATTATGTGTCACTGGGGAGCAGTAACATATCACGTAGATTAACATGGTCATACTGTTCCATACAGATCTTAAAAAAAAGGCCTGATAAAGCTACAATTATTAACTTCTTCATTTGCAACTACAGCTGCTGTGACAATTTCTAATACTTTTTGTTTAATTTGTGGGGCAGAAATGTAGTATTGTCATTCCAAATGATTTAACAGGATTGTTGTTTACGTAAATTGCCCGTGGTGTTCAAGGGTGTGTAGCTTAGGTGGGTTATAAGGGGATGGGTCTGGGTGGGATGCTCCAAGGGTTGGTGTGGACTTGTTTGGGCAAAGGGCCTGTTTCCACACTGTGGGAATTCTATGTGATTCTATGTGAATAAATAAGATGATTGTTCTTTTTGCAAATACTTCAAATTCTTGCATGCATTAAACATTTTTGATCTGAAAAGCAATCCCGAAGCACTTTTCAAAAATATGTACAAATTAATGAATAAATGAGATGCAAAGCCACAATGGGAAAAGATGTCAATGTTTGGTTTTGAAGGGTTTATAAAGTGAGAGGTGAAGGATGTTAGGGAAGACAAACTGGTGATTACAAATGAGTCACCTTTCAGGCAATACTGACAGCCTGGTCTCAACAGTGAAGCGCTCTCACATCTGAGTCACAGAGTCAGAGGTTAAGCTTGACTTCAGACACTTGAACATAAACTAGGGAGGTACTTCTGTGCTGTGATGAGGGAGTGGTGCGAATCAGAGATGACATCTTCAGGTGGGACATTAAATTGAGATCCCATTTGCCTTCTCAAGTGAATGTGAAAGATTCCATGGCACTGCTGGAAGAAAAGCAGTGTATCTTTTCTGATATAACAAGGTGTAGAGCTGGATGAACACAGCAGGCCAAACAGCATCAGAGGAGCAGGAAGGCTGACGTTTCGGGCCTAGACCCTTCTTCAGAAATGGGGGAAGGGAAGGGGGTTCTGAAATAAATAGGGAGAGAGGGGGAGGCGGATAGAAGATGGATAGAGGAGAAGATAGGTGGAGAGGAGACAGACCGGCCAAAGAGGTGGGGATGGAACCAGTAAAGGTGAGTGTAGGTGGGGAGGTAGGGAGGAGATAGGTCAGCCCAGGGAGGATGGACAGGTCAAGGGGGCGGGATGAGGTTAGTAGGTAGGAGATGGGGGTGGGGCTTGAGGTGGGAGGAGGGGATAAGTGGGAGGAAGGACAGGTTAGGGAGGTGGGGACGAGCTGGGTTGGTTTTGGGATGCAGTAGGGGGAGGGGAGATTTTGAAGCTTGTGAAGTCCACATTGATACCATTGGGCTGCAGGGTTCCCAAGCGGAATATGAGTTGTTGTTCCTGCAACCTTCGGGTAGCATCATTGTGGCACTGCAGGAGGCCCAGGATGGACATGTCGTCTGTGGCATGAGAGGGGGAGTTGAAATGGTTCGTGACTGGGAGGTGCAGTTGTTTAGTGCGAACCGAGCGTAGGTGTTCTGCAAAGCATTCCCCAAGCCTCCGCTTGGTTTCCCCGATGTAGAGGAGGCCACAACGGGAACAGCGGATGCAGTATACCACATTAGCAGATGCGCAGGTGAACATCTGCTTGATGTGGAAAGTCTTCTTGGGGCCTGGGATGGGGGTGAGGGGGGAGGTGTAGGGGCAGGTGTAGCACTTCCTGCGGTTGCAGAGAAAAGTGCCGGGTGAGGTGGGGCTGGAGGGGAGTGTGGAGCGGACAAGGGAGTCACGGAGAGAGTGGTCCCTCCGGAAAGCAGATAAGGGTGGGGAGGGAAAAATTCTTTGGTGGTGGGGTCGGATTGCAGATGGTGGAAGTGTCGGAGGATGATGTGTTGGATCCGGAGGTTGGTGGGGTGGTACGTGAGGACGAGGGGGATTCTGTTTTTGTTGTTATTGCGGGGAGGGGGTGTGAGGGATGAGTTGCGGGAAATGCGGGAGACACGGTCGAGGGTGTTCTCAACCACTGAGGGGGGAAGTTGCGGTCCTTGAAAAACGAGGACATCTGAGATGTACGGGAGTGGAATGCCTCATCCTGGGAGCAGATGCGGCGGAGGCAAAGGAATTGGGAATAGGGGATGGCATTTTTGCAGGAAGGTGGGTGGGAGGAGGTGTATTCTCGGTAGCTGTGGGAGTCGGTGGGCTTGAAATGGATATTGGTTTCTAGGTGGTTGCCGGAGATGGAGAGGTCCAGGAAGGAGAGAGAGGTATTAGAGATGGTCCAGGTGAACTTAAGGTTGGGGTGGAAGGTGTTGGTGAAGTGGATGAACTGTTCGAGCTCCTCGTGGGAGCACGAGGCGGCGCCGATACAGTCATCAATGTAACAGAGGAAGAGGTGGGATTTAGGGCCAGTGTAGGTACGGAAGAGGGATTGTTCCACGTAACCTACAAAGAGGCAGGCATAGCTTGGGCCCATGCGGGAACCCATGGCCACCCCCTTTGTCTGTAGGAAGTGGGAGGAATTGAAAGAGAAATTGTTGAGGGGGAGGACGAGTTCGGCTAAGCGGATGAGTGTGTCAGTGGAGGGGGACTGGTCGGGCCTGCGGGATAGGAAGAAGCGGAGGGCCTTTAGGCCATCTGTATGGGGAATGCAGGTGTTTAGGGACTGGACGTCCATGGTAAAGATGAGGTGTTGGGGACCGGGGAATTGGAAGTTCTGGAGGAGGTGGAGGGCGTGGGTGGTGTCACGGACATAGGTAGGGAGTTCCTGGACCAAGGGGGAGAAAATGGATTCCAGATAGGTGATCTTTTCTGATATCCTGGTCAACATTTACTTGTTTACCAAGATGTAAAAACAGATCTGGTCGTTTATTTCGTTTTCATTTATGGGAACTTGTTCTGCATAAATTGACTGTTGCACAAGGTCATTTCCCAGTGTTTTCCATTTGATCTCTGGACAAGTTAGCTAGAAATTAGAGAGCGAACGGCACAATCCACAAATAATGTAAATTGGAAAATTATCCAGTGTAAAAATTTAAAATTATGACACACATTTAATAAGTAAAGGCATTTGACATTCTGTTCTCACTGACATTAGTGTGTTTTGGCTGAAGGGTTGAGAATTACTGGGAAATTTTAATAAGGCAGAAATAATGACATTTTGATGCATTAAATGCGTAAGATATTTAATTTTCTTAAATTGTTACAGCAGTCATTGGAGAATAGCAAATAAAAGTAGAGTGACAAAAATGAAAGTAGCCCTTGAAATTACTCAGCAGTTCTAATGAATCAAGTTATTACAGGTGAAACTCAAAGTAGAATGCAAGCCCAGAAGTTTGAACAGGGTTAAAATGGCAAAATTCAATGACACGAATATTCTTGAATCTTCTTGAATTCTTGAATCTTCTACACAATTTTGAAGTTTTCATTAAATGGCACAAATATATTTATTACTTGCAAACTGCTGAATTTGCATATTCAATATTATTGACCCTTTGGTTGTAGTAGTCGTAACAAAACATTGTATATCCACTGAAGAAATTAATGAAACCTGGAAAAATAAAATGAATCATTTAAGAAGCTAATGCTCACAAATGTAACCAGAAATTGACTGAAAAGAAATCATATGTGCTACAAATGGTTTTGTCCACTATTATGTCTTAAACAGCTTTACAGAAGCATATCTGTGTGATTGTTGCTATGTGTGAGATACAGGCATATCAGATGTGATATATCACAAGTGGACTTGAGAAGAATTGTGGACTCATGGACTGATTATGCTGGCCGGGTTTATAATCAATGTTCCCCTCAAGCTTCCTGAATGCTTTGCCATACAACCCGAATGTGCCACACAATGTACATGGAAAGTCTACTGAAGCAACACTCTTTTAAGATGCATGCAGGCACGGCCATGCATCAATCTGAAGTTGGCTACACACAGCAAACAGATTTTAGAGGGAACAGTGTTTACAAATAGCATACAAATTGTGGCAGTTATAGATCCTGCCTATTGTTCTTTTTTTAAAAGGCTTTGGAGCAGTTCAAAATGTTGATGAATTATTTTAAAGTTGTGATTCCATGGAATTGGTGTGACATAGGCATAGCTATTCAACATGTTGCCCAGTTGTGGAAGTGGCAATGGGGACAACCTTTCGTTACAGAAATGGTCTATTTTTGCTTTCCAATAGAAATTAAATTTTGTGCCATCTACAATGATATGCTTATCTGCAACATGTGTTTTACAACTAGGCAGCAAGTTGAGTATCCACCTCATAGAATTGTACAGTGTTTGAAGGAGCACATTTGCTGAGGTTATTAATTCTAGCTAATATGCGGCAAAATTTCCTTTAATATCAATAAAACAAGTAAAAAGATCTCCTGATTTTTTCTTCTATATCGTTCACTATATACTCATGAGTCTTTGTTATTATGCATGACAGAAAGGAAGACTAAAATATTTTTATTCCTAAGTGAAATATTTCCCTGTTCTGGTAAATCACGGATGATGGAATCTAACATAATTATTCATTTGCACTCATTAGAATTGCTAATCAAAAAGAACACTGTATCTTAAATAAAAATGTACCATTCTGTTCAAAAGCAGCATCCACTTGGTTACCAATGCCATGCCATTCATTTTCTATCAATTTTGGATAGCCCTGATCCATTTCTTTTGTAGCATTGTTGTAACTACACAAAAAGGACACAATTATTTTTAGAATCATTATTAGTTTTAGAGAGAATACTTGATAGAAATTTCAGTGGAACAGTCATACCTCCAACATTTGTTTCCCACAAAGAAGAATGTTTTTCCAACCTGACGAATTTGTACTGCTGCATCAATTTTCTTCACAGTTGGGGGAAAACCCAAACTATCAATAGTCTTAGGGTATCCAGGTAAAATGCTGTAGCCATTGACAGCCCAGTATTGATCTCCTGTATAATTAAAATAATTGAAATAGTTTCTATAAATAAATCATGAAAATAATTATACATCTCAAGCAAAAAATGAGCATGCAGAGTTCTTAATCTTGAGATTTAAACTAATAAGGTTTAAGCATGTTATATATGTTTATTGATGTCATGAAAAATAAACTGAGATACTTGTTTGTAGGAATGGTGGAATGACACACACTTTCCATGGGAAGCTCTGTGGTTTCAGGTCAAACAAGATCAAGGAAACTTCTGCCAATTATCACTTGTCATAATCCTTACTTTGAAATGTCAGTACTTTTCCATGTTAAGCACTACTTAAAGGAAGAACTGATGAAAACAAGAGCAAAAATATAATCCGGGTGGGAATTTCAATTCCAACAAAAATAGAGGCTTGATAACGCTGACACTAAATGAGTTAACCAAGTATTAAAGGACATGGTTGGTGGTTTGGATATGCATCACATAGTAATTACATCAAAACAAGAGTTTGTTGCTGATACATCTATATGAATAGAATCTATATGAGCAACTCCCAAGGAATCCATGTGAAAATAAAATTCACTTTAGAGTGAAGATTCCCTCCGTGATGTCTTTGACACTACCAGAAATACACCAATGTTAAGATCTAGTCATCAAATATTGGAGATTGTCAAGTACTTGAGCTGTCTGCAGCTAGATTATGTACCACATTCTGGCCCAACTCCATATATACATCATACCCAGGTTCAATAAAGAATTCAGAGGAACAAAACCAGGCTGTTCTTACAATGAAGTACCAATATGATGACATGTATGTAAGTCAAACTTCATTACCACCATCAAATTCCATTGGCACCATGATCATTAAGTGCCCTACCATTAATATCCTCAAGTCACCTTTGAGCAGCAACTTAATTTATCAATATTATGGCTACAAAAACAGTGCAAAGGCTGGGACATCAATGAGGACTGTCTCACCTCTTGACTCCTATTGGGTCTCCACAATCAAAAATGCTCAAGGTAGGAATATAACAGAATATTAACCAATGCCTTATGGATAACTAAAGTTTCTTAATGAAAGTAGCAATTTTAACATTTATTTCTAAACTTCTGCCCTTGTGTATGCATTTAATTTTCATTTAGATTTAAACATATTCACATAAATTTGGTTCTGAGACCATTAAAAATGGTTTTATTACAGGCATAGAATACAAAAGCAATATGATAGTGTTGAAAATATATGAGGAATTAAATTAACAGCAGATTGTTTCCATTGGTTAGAAAGATAGAAACAAGAGTACCCAAATTTAAGTTAGTCACAAAAACAGTTCAAGGGAAAATTAGAAAAAAAATCTTTATGGAATACTTGTAGAATTTGAAATTCTCTGCTACAATCTCTGTTGATGCAGAATCAATACATTATTTTAGAATAGAACCAGGAAGAATGCTAAAATTTTTGAGGGGTTTACAGGAGAGTGGAAGCAAGCTGAAGTGAGCCAGAACAACAGACTTGATCAGCTAATTGCCACATTCTATACTGTAACAATCTGGGATTCTATGTAAGTACAGGACTGTTAACACGTCTATCCGAAATAACTCCGAACTCAAAAACTCAGAAAGTTGTGTGATTGTGAAGGGCTAAGGTAGTGAGTTAGTTTGAATATTATCCTTACTTCTTGTTGCCTCAGTCCGAATCCACTCTAAACTGATACTGAGCCACAGCTTTTAATCTTCAGTAAATCAATCAAAACACTCTAATACAATGTCATATTGCAATGGTCATAAATTTAATAAGAAATCATAGTATAACTTTGGTATGATTAAAATAAATTTGTGAATCTTAATGTAATTTTTACTGACAATGAGTCCATAAAACCAAACTGATGTTGAATTATCTGGAAAGGGCATCTAGTGGTCCATTTGGACTCACTAGTGAGTGAAAAACTGTTGTTTTGAGACTGTGGGAATATTATGCACATAAGAACAGTCACTGATGAGAAAATTAATTTGGTTCATCAAAGTTCATCTCCTACCTGACCTTAAATGGCGCTATGTAGTTTGTGTTCCAATCTCTAGCATCAACATCTCTTAAATTAAGTAGGAATAATTACAAAGTCATGCATCCAAAACTCCCAATACCATTAAAGCACAGCACAGATGACTTAGGAAAGATTTCTAACCTTTGAAAAATAGTGTAGTTCCCTCAAAAAAGTTTTCGTATGAAGCATCAATGTTTATGGGAAGATTCGGCCATACAGATGTTATCCGCATTAGAATTGCACCTGGCATTTGTGGGACAACACGCCAAACAAACCTAAATGGAAATTCAGAACATTAGTGCTTTCCAATTCTTCTCATTATTGTCGTTTGGTTAAGTTGATATTGAATACTAAACAGTGCAGCAGTCTAGAAATTGAAGGATGTCCTGTAATATTAAGTTGATTGGCTGCTGTGTTTTAATAGTTGTGATTCAAAGTTGACAATTGATCTCTTCTCTTAAAAGCCAGCACCACAGTTCTTGAACACTGTTTTAGCAACAATACATTTTCTTTATTCCTGTAAATGTAATCATTGCCTAGTTTACGGCAAAAGAATGAAAATTAAAGCAGAAAATGTGTAACATACACAACAGCACCTGAGGAGTGAACCAATGAGGTAACATGCTCAGAGTAGAAGTTATATTTTCTTGAGAAAACTGAAAGCAAGGAGTAAGTGGAGGAGGATAATCAATGTTTCATGATTTCTGCATGAGGTCAGTTCCAGAAAATCAGATAAATGATGTGAAATGGAACAATCCTGGTCCTACCAGCTCACTTTATTCTTCATGTAACTTTGTGCATTTAGATAAAGGTGTTCCTTAGAAAGTTAACAGTGCATCCCCAGCAGACTGTAAGCTGAGAGAGCAAAAATGAAAGCATATTAAATTAGAGTCAACATGGATAGGGAATCACTCAGGAGGTAGGAGTCAGAGTAGAGCAATAGGTTGCATTCTCTAACTAGAAAGATGTGAATAGAGGTGGCCTCAGGGATCTGTAATGGAATCTTAGTATTTCACCATATTTATAAATGACATAAATAAATAGAGAGCTGTATATGCTAGTTTACTGATGTCACCAAATCAGGAGGAACAATAATCAGTATACAAGGGAGCAAGAAGGGCCCTTGTGGTATTTTTGTAGTTTCCTTAACTCTTGAGTTAAGAGACCTGGGTTCAAATCCCACCTGCTCCAGAGGGATATAGTAACACCTCTGAACAGGTTAATTTTTTTTTAAGAAAGCAGTAAGTTACAAAGGGATATTGATAGATAAACTGTGGTAAATTGAATTCAATAGAAGAAGTGTGAAGTAATCCTCTTTGCGTGCCTGAACAATAGATCAAAATTTTTTCCAAGTGGATAAGAAAAGAGATTCAGGGCTAGGTACAAAAGCTAATAATCAGTTATGAGAAATTCTAATGACTTATGGATCCCTATCTTGTGGAATTGGAATTCGAAAGGCTGGGAGTAATACTATGTTTAAAAAAAAATTGGTTTTGGGCACTTCAACTCAGGAAGGATATACTGACTTTGCAAGGAGTGCAGCACCACAGTGATACTGGAGGTAAGAGTTAAATTATGAGAACAAGTTGTCTAGATACAGCTTCTTTTATATATACAAGATAAGAGGTTATTTAGTTGAAGATTAAGATTATTTAGTAAGTTATTTTGATAGTTAAATAAAAAATATTTCTTCTGGTGGGGGAATATAGAAAAGGGGATGTAATATTCAAACAAAGGTGGCCATTTACAGATGATGTCAAAAAGCACTTCACATAAAGGGTAAGTATAAACTAGAACTGTCTCCTCCAAAAAGGTTTCAGGTGAGGCCTATTGAAAATTCCAAACCAGATTCTTGTTAGGCAATAAAATTTAGGGACCAAGTTTATTAGATGGGACAAAGTTCAGACATAAGCTAACCGAATGTGGAACAGGCTCAAAACATTATATGTTCCTATGTGCCAAAAACTTTGTGAAGATAGAGTCTGTCAAAAGGTAAAGTAATGCCCTTGAATTTTCTTTCTGCAAAATCCTCTGGTCCGCGACCAGGATCATAACTGCAGGTATCACCAGTTACAATCAAATGGCTGATTCTATCCCCGTCTACCCTGTTCCCTGTCTCAAATTACCCCCCATCCCACTCCTAGTCCCTTCAAACCTCCTAAATTCTTAGACAACACCTTCAAAACTCATGACCACTGTCATCTATATCAACAGGGCAGCAGATATATGGGAACACCACTGCCTGTAAGTTCCCCTTGAGGCCACTCACCATCTTGACTTGGAAATGCATTTCTTTACTGTCACGGGGTCAAAACCCTGGAATTCCCTCCCTCAGGGCATTGTGGGTCAGCACAATGACTGCAGTGGTTCAATAAGGCAGTTTGTTACCACCTTCTCAAGAGCAACTAGGGATGGGCAATAAATTCTGGCCCAGACGGCAAATGCCACTTCCCATGAGGGAACAAAATAAAATCCAATATTAAGGCCCTGTCATGAAATCCTGTCAAATGTGTATAAGTCACACAAATGGCTACAGGCATGAATATTTGGTCCTCAGTTGGCACTTGCTAGGAGAACTCTGGGAAAACTTGTCTCTCCACATCTTATTAACATCAAGGATTTACTCTCAAAAAGTTATCCTTCATTTTTACTTTTCAGATGCTGATAGACTCAATATCAATGCCAAAATTTCGATAATATATCAGATTAATGATGTTTTCTTCTTTACACCATTCTAACACGTTTAGAGTATTTTCAAATTCTGATAAATGCATGAATGACAGAAAATTGTTGCATACCTGTCTTTAAAGAACATAATTTCTCCACGGAGTGTACTAACTGCATCGAAGGACAGGGTAGGATCACATTTCTCTGGAGTCTTTGGGTGACGCTTTTGGTCAGGATTATTTGATGAACCTATGTTGATGTATATAAAAAATGTCTGGTATGAATAAGTATTTTAAAAATTAGTAAGTCACAGTGCTGAAGTATTTACATCCATCTTCAGCCACAAGTGCCAAGGGGGTGATCCATCGCACCCAGCATCACAGATAACAGCCTTCCATTGATTTGATTCACTCTGCATGAAATCTAGAAATGGCCAAAAACACTGGATACTGAAAAAGCTATGGGTCCTGATAGTATTCAGGCTAAAGTACTGAAGACACGTGCTCTTGAAATAGCTATGGTCCTTGCTAATCTGTTTCAGTACAACTACAATAATTTTATCTACCTAACAATGTGGAAAATTGCCTATATATATCCTGTGCACAAAAGACAGGCCTCTGTGCGGAGGTGATG